CTCACAACAAGAACCAAAATTATCATTGATGAGAGAAAGCAATAACATTCATCCTGAAGACACCTGTTGCAAGAAGGGACCTATTCCATCTGCAAGTCAGTCACTCACTTCCTTTCTCCAGAAAGGAAACTGAAGCCCAGAGAGGTAAAGAGACTTACCTAAGGCCACACAGCTAATTAATAGCATAGTTGGCAAAAGACTCTTCACCTCCTGACTTCCAACTCCACTCCCTACTAGGCAAGTATCTCTTAGCATCTCACATTTCATTTTTCTTATTAGTAAAATGAGTTATTGTTAGACATGAAAAAATGTAACAGAGACCAGTTGCTAAAAATGGTAGCTATTTTCATTTTTAGATTTGTTCTAATTGTTGTATAGTGGGCCTCTCAAGTAATTAACGGTTATTATTTTAATAATATAAAAGTATTGATATAATTAATATAATAATTATGTATAATATCGTTAATATAATACAGGACTTTAGTAATTTGATAATACAAAAAGGCTGAGAGAGGCAATGAGATTCAAGTTCTGACTTTTTCTTTTTTTTTTTTTTGAGACGGAGTTTCGCTCTTGTTACCCAGGCTGGAGTGCAATGGCGCGATCTCGGCTCACCGCAACCTCCGCCTCCTGGGTTCGGGCAATTCTCCTGCCTCAGCCTCCCGAGTAGCTGGGATTACAGGCACGCTCCACTATGCCCAGCTAATTTTTTGTATTTTTAGTAGAGACGGGGTTTCACCATGTTGACCTGGATGGTCTCGATCTCTTGACCTCATGATCCACCCGCCTCGGCCTCCCAAAGTGCTGGGATTACAGGCTTGAGCCACGGCGCCCAGCCAAGTTCTGACTTTTTCTTAGTCATCATTGTCTGGCGTAAATCTTAGCATTGGGCCTATGCAGTCAACCTCCAGTACCACCTGCCATTCACCTGGAGGCAGCTTCTGGATCTCCTCATATGTTTTCAGGGAAGGAATAACCATCCCCCATACTGCTGGCCCGGCAACCCCCACCTTATTAAGTGGTGGCATGTATCACAGTCCTAGGATGCTTCTGAGGAGAGAAATATGAGGCTGTGATTTTCCCAACAGACACAGCTGTCATCAAACTCTTTATGGAAAGCTGCTGTAGACAGGGGCTGAAAAGAAGATGAAGGCTTTAACAGGATGTGAAATTGCAGTGATAACAAGAGAGCACTAAAAGCATATGGCACTGGAAAGGATTTTCTGCATCCAAATTGAGAATCAGAACTTCATTTGGTTAGTCATCATTTTACCCCCACCACACCTCTGCTCTCTGAGCTGGTATTTTTGTAAATATTCAGATAAGACAAACAAGGTGATAAATGAGGTCATGGCTTTGCCAGAGGGACAGTCAGTGCTGGAATATAAATGTTGGCTCTCCTTGACTTCTCCATGTCATTTGCCTTTTCTGGCCACACCTTTGGGTCTCAACCCGGGGTCTTAGACTATGATCCCATGCTTTAGCCATTCTGCTGTGTTGTATCTGAGTTTGGTGTCTATAGAGTCACTGGTGCAATAATCGTTCGTTGAGCGTTTGATCTGACTTTTGTATGATCACCAGAGTAAAGTGAAAATGAGGCACTCAACAGCTGTGGGTTGCATATGAGTGACCTGAGAGCCATGTCTGAGGCTCACTGCCCATGGCACACGACCTCACTCTTCCAATACCACCTGATCAGGGACAGGACCCTCTCCCCAGGCTGGAGCACCAACTTCTCCCATCATTCCTGAGTAGCACAAAGACCCATCAGGATAATGTTTCTGTGCCTTTCAGACCTCCCATGTTCACCAACGTACCTACCAGTGAACATAGTGGCATACAAATAACTGCAGAGGTAGAAGAGTCCAAGTCCTTGGCCCAAATCTAGCTGGTTTAGATACCATACCTTGCTCTACCACTTAGTTCACTGTGTGAGCTTAGGCAAATTACTTAATTTATCTAAACTCCTATTTCTTCAAATGTGAATGTGGAATATTATCTATCTCATAGAGGTCCAAGAATCAAAAAAATTATTGTATATGAAAATGCTTTGAAAAATAGAAAGCACTACTCAAGTAAGTACAGGTATTATTCAGTAGTCTACATACACTGCAGGGAATTTTTTGTAGAAAAAATAAAACTTAATAAATATTAAATTATATTCATATCATTTTCATCCATCCATCCACCCATCCACCCATCCATCTATCCATGCATACATACATTCATTCAGTAAAGTTGTATTAGACAACCAGTCTGAGGGCAGGCACTGTATTGGTGTTAGGTAGATACACGACTGTGAACAGCCAAGATATTATTCCTTGTATTAGTCAGGGTTCTCCAGAAAAACAAAACTAAAGGGAAATACATATCTCAAAAGAGATTTATTAGAAATAATGAGCTCATGTGATTATGAAGGTGGGCAAGTCCTGAGATATGCAGGATGAGTCAACAAGTTGGAAACCCAGGAGAACTGATGGTTTAGTTCCAGTCTGACCTGGTGACCTTCAAACCAGGATTGACAGTGTAGGCAAAGGCCAGCAGTCTCAAGACCCAGGACGCACTGATGTTTCTGTTTGAGTCTGAAGGCAAGATAAAAAAAGCCAGTGACCCAGTTCAAAGGTAGTCAGGCAGGAAGAATTCTCTCTTACCTGGGGGAGTCGGCCTTTCGTTCTATGCAGGCCTGCACTTGGTTAGATGGGGTCTGTCACGTTAGGGAGGGCACTCTGCTTTACTCAGTCTGCCAATTTGAATGTTAATCTCATCTAAAGCACCCTCACAGAAACACCCAGAGTAACGTTTCACCAAATATCTGGGCCCTCCCTCAGTCTGATCAAGTTGGCACATAAAACTAATCATCACCTTCCTCATGGAGCTTGCTCTCTCTTGGGGATAGGAGGACATAGTAAAGCAATAATCATGCAAACAGATTTATAGTGAGAAAGTGTGCCGAGTGATGTGAAGGAAAGAGTGCAGGCTCCCTGGAGTGATGATAGCACTGGAGGCACATAAACATGAAACTTCAATTGACTTGACTGATGTGGGGCACGGGGGCACATAGGGCACCTTCAGATAGGAGAGCACTCAGCAGATCCAAAGATCCAAAAGGTCTGTGTGGCTGGACCATAGCAAAGAAGAGGGATTATCTTGCCAATGTGAGCAATCAGAGGGAAGGTCACAGACCACTCCTAGGGTTCTGCTTTGAGAAGGCTGAAAAGTTTGAGGCTAATGAAGGAGGTATGAAATAGAAATTGCCAGACTGAGAGAATGACCTTGCTATAGAAATGTAATAATACAGTTGCGTGGTCTATTTAAGTTGAGCTAGAATAAATTCGTAAACATTCTACTCTCTCAGGATGCAAGATTTTTATAGCATTTTGTTTGACAATTTGATGGAGACATATAAATTAATTTTCACATTGATTATTGTGACCTTCCACTTCACACTGTTTGGCATGACTATTTCTACATGTTTGTATTCCATAATCTTGTTATTTTTAATAGCTGTGTAGTATTCCATGATGGTTTCCATGATGTTATTTCTGGCTCTTCTACAACACTCCTGTGGCTTTTAGTTCTGTACACTGTTTTTCTGAAAAATAGTTCTGCTGAGAATATCTTTTGTAACAGTGTTATTTTCTTATGAGCTATTCTCGTAAGTTGCATCCCCTCATGGGTCACTTCTCTATACCTCACAGTCACTCCAGCACACAGCGTCTGTGGTGTGGTGCTTTGTTTGTCTTGCCTAGATGTGAGAAATTCCCATGGCACCAGCTGCTGCTGGGGAGGTGGCTGGGGAGGGGTAGTGGCAGGCAGGAAGAGGATGACCCTCATTAGGAGTTCAGAGAATGGGGGTTATTGTGTTACTGTACTGTATCCTCCAGGATGTGGCCTCTATGAGGGGTGTGTTCTGCACTGAGAACCTCCGTGGCCTTAGCCTAACAGGGAGCTTATTCTCCTCCCCACCTTTGCTGCCTCCCCCAAGGGCCTATTAAGTTCCCAGTAAGTGTTGTTATATGTGGAACAAAGGGTATGTAAGGTAGTGGTGATAACATAAATGATTGTTCATAAGTCTCTGGACTATGATTAAATAAAAGTTATGATTACATCATCTAAGGCAAATGATTCCCTGGTTGCCATCATTTCTGTTTATTCATTTATTTAACATATTCATTCTTAATTTCTACCTATTACTGAGAAATCAGTCAGGGACCAGTTCATCAAGCCAAGCAGGTATCACAGAAGTTCATACAACGTCTCTTCCTTGCCTGATCATAGCACACCCACTCATTTGATCGAGTGTTTCTCTTAAGCACTTAGTGTTTTTAACACTAGCCACAAAGTTAATGGAACAAAATAGAGTAACTGAACTCATTTGAGTTGGGACAAGGATAAAGTTTAAATTTGGTTCTCTAGGATTAAAAAAAAAATTATATTTCCTGTGTCAAACATAATATCATACAGTAATAACTTAGTCTAATGTTCTTGACAATTGGAGAATAAGTTTCAAAGGATTTCTCTATCTTATCAAAGCAAAGAAAGACAAATATGGAACATAATAACCATTTTTCTCTCTTACCCACAAAAGGTGTGTAGGAGAGGAGACAGGGTCCTACCAGAATCTTAGCCATTTTGGTCAGAACCATCATCACTGATGGCAGCAACATCTGTAGTTAATAACAGCAATGATAGTAACATGTAAAAACCATGGAGTGTTAACTGTATGCTAGGCACAGTGCTTTACCTTGAATCTTTACCTTACCCCCATGAAGTGGCCTTTCTCAACATCACAAAGCTAGGTGAGTGATGGACTCAAGATTCGAAGAGTGGACCCAAAGCTGGTGCTCCTAATCTCTCTCTACCCTGGTGATACAGTGGCTGGAAGCAGTGTGGGGTGGCAGGACAAACCCACACCAAGGGGTCAGAGCATTGCATTGAGAAGCACATGCCATGTTAGCCTTTAATCTGTTAGGTAAATTGAATTAAGTTTCATAATAATTATTATTATTATTTTGAGACAGGATGTTGCTCTGTCACCCAGCTGGAGTGCAGTGGTGGTGTCATCTCAGCTCACTGCAACCTACACCTCCCAGATTCAAGCCATTCTCCTGCTTCAGCCTTCTGAGTAGCTAGGATTACAGGTATGTACCACCACACCTGGTTATGTACCACCACACCTGGTTAATTTTTTATTTTTAGTAGAGATGGGGTTTCATCATGTTGGCTAGGCAGGTCTTGAATCCTGACCTCAATGATCCACCTGCCTCAGCCTCCCAAAGTGCTGTGATTACAGGTGTGATCTACCACACCCAGCCCATAACAACTTCATGTTCCATTTTCTATAAAGCAGAAGAGATGCTCATGTTTTTTAACTCCCATTGTGAGCATGCCAGATAAGTGTGGAAGTTCTTTGACAACCAGCCATAAAGTCCTACAGACATCTCAGGATTTGTTATTTTGTACTGTGATTGCTATGATGATGATGTGGCAAGATTCTTATACTTGAAATATGAGACATGCAACAGCTGCTCTGCAGTGAGTTTACTCTGATGGGTTAAATTCAAATGTCTCATGCAGTGGAGTTACATTTCAAAATGAGTCATCTGATATGGTGATGTGCCAGGGAATCAGATACTTCACAGTCAGGAGGCAGCAGGAATCATATGTGTTGTGTATGTGACATGACTGACGTGGTGAAAGATAAATTCAAAGCATCAGCAGGCTCTCTAAACAAAGCTCCTTCTAGGAAAACTGATCACTGTGGCAGGCTTCCTCCAGTGACCGCAGGCTGGGAATTGACCATAACAGATCATGATGTAGGTTCTAGAACAAGACTGAGGGGTGGAACAGGAGTCAGAGGGTCTTCAGAGTGTTCTTATGGACGTTAGACCGACGAAGCCCCCACCATGCTTTGAGCAATCAGCAGGTCTCAGGTCTTGGGGTTCTAGATGTTGGAATACATGGCATATCTGGTCCAGGTAGCAGGACATGGAGGCCAAGGAGGAAAATTCCATCCGTACTTTACGTAAACCCAGTAGACTGGTGGTTCCAAACTCCAGAGAGACTAAGATCCAACTGTTGGGTGCTACACTCACTACTGGGTGATGGGATTATTCATATCTGAAACCTCAGCATCATGCAATATACTCATATAACAAATCTACACATGTACCCCTGAATCTAAAATATAAGTTGAAATTATTTTTTTTTAATTGTTCAACACATGGATACAGGGAGGGGACTGTCACACACACTGGGGTCTGTTGGGGGGTGGGGGACTAGGGGAGGGATAGTGGGAGTGGGGAGATTGGGGAGAAATAACATTATGAGAAATACCTAATGTAGGTGATGGGAGGGTGGAGGCAGCAAACCACCATAGCATGTGTATACCTGTGTAACAGTCCTGCAAGATCTGCACATGCACCCCAGAACTTAAAGTAAAATAAAATAAAATAATTGTTCAAATGCAGATTTCTGGTCTCCATTCCCAGAGTTCTCTATTCCACTGGTTTAGGGTGGGGACCAGTAATCTATGTTCAACATGCCCTTTAAGTGATTTTGATGCAGATAATGTATAATTTCCATTTTCAGGAAATAAAATGTAGTAGATACCAGACGGACTCTGGATGAGAGTGACCATAATAAAAACCAAAAAGCTAACATGTATTGAGCGTTTACTATGAACTAGGTACTCTTGAAAGTGCTGTACAGCAATTAACTAATTTTCACTGCCATCCCATGAGCTATCCACTAATATTTCCTCCATTTTACAAACAGAAGACACTGACGCCTGTGATTTCATGTCCTGGTTTCCTGGTAAAAAGTAAAAGTGTGAATGTGTCAGAAGAATTTTATAAGGTATGGGTAGATTGCTCAGATTTCACCTAGAGGGATAGCATATATTCCCATCACTCTAGTGTTATAATGTAGCCTGGTTCTCATGTGAAAAATTCACAGCAGCCTGGTAGCTTAGGGTACGGATGGAGCTTAGGAGAAATTGCCCACTGTTGCATCTATCTCACAGGGTATAAACATTGAGACTAGAAGACATGAACTCCAATTGTTTCTTGCCCTCTAATGCTGAAATTGACCTTACCCCAACCTTCTTTTTGGCTGGGATCTGTTGAAATGCTGCAAGCCTCAGCTTGCTAATCAGGTTTACAGAAAAAAAAAATATTTTAAGCCTCTATTAATTAAAACTATAATGCTAACCATCTATAACCAGTTACCCATCATGACCAGTTAGCTCATTTAACTAGAGCCCATTGACAATAAGAGTGAACTCATCAAACCTAACGTTTACTTTCTATTACAGAAGAATTTATTTGAATCTCTCTTTTCCTTGGCTAAGACGAATGAAGAAGCAGGAGACTTGGGGGATCCCCTTAACTGGAGATAATTACTGGGACAAATCAGCCAGCACAAAGAGGAGGTAATATTTGAATGGTTGGTTAGAAATGTTCTTTGTTGATTTATCATTCATGTACTGTGATTTAAAGAACCTTGAAGTTACTTGAACATTGTTTAAAATGTTGGTGCTCTAGAATTCCAGATTTATGTTTCTAAGTGCCTGGCTGCGAAGATGTTCCATTTGGTTGTTCAGCTAGTATCCCTTCCCCAAAACATCTCCCAAACCAACCCCATCATATTCCCCACCAAATCTGGCTTCTCTGGATGATGCTATTTCTGTTCCTGATCACACATTCTCCCAGTTCTGGTTCAGAAACACAGCCATCTTTGAATCCACCCTCCCCAGAGAGTTGGTTGTAAGAGAAATTCACATATTTTCTCAGGTCAGCTTTTGCTCTTCCAGCAAAACAAGCATCACTATCACCCACAGTTCAATCCCTTTTCATCTTGTGGAGTCTGGACCACATTCTGGAGCTTTCCTGACCAGCATCTTCTTCTTTTCTCTTGCAGATTCTTCTTCCTATAATGGCTCTGCCATATTGAAATGTCATTCTTTAGCTCAGACTTTCTCTGTGATTTTTATTGCCTCCTAAATAAAGTTCAAATTTACTAAACTCAAAATCTGGTGTACAAGGCCTTCTATAATCTTTTCCCCTACTGTTTGTCTAGCCTTGCTTTCTATTAAATCTTTAAAAACTTTTTACTACTCACAGGGCCAACTTACCCATTAGATATGGGAAGTGCAGCACCTAGGTCCCACATGCTTCTAGAGGTCCAGGATGTTTTAATTTCTTTTTCAATCAAAAGAAAAAAGAACATAATCCAAATTGGATTGTATTCATAATTATACCAACATAGTTATATAACATAATTTTAATATTTTTGGGACAAAGAGATCCATAAAGCAAAAGTATCCAAGTCCCATGGAAGTCATGTGACTTTCCCCTGCAATAGAAAATATAAATTGAATAAATGAACTTTGGTGAAAGATTTAAAGACATATAATAAAGTATGCATTCATTAAATGTAAAATAAATAAAATAAATCCATCAACCTCATCTCAAAAAATGTTTGACTTTCATTTGTTCATTAATAGCTCTACTATTCACTTATTCAGTCAGCTCCAGAGAGAAGTGGAAAGAGCACTGCAGCAGAATCTCTGGGGGAGACTTGGACACCTGGGTTGTTGCTCTGCTTTCTGGGTGCTTCTGATGAAGGAGGAGCCCCTACTCTTGGTCTTATCCTCAAACACAGTATAAGCTCTTCATTTCCATGGTTTTGTTCATGTTGCTCCCTTGCCCTAGAATTTCTTCTCCTCTGCCTCCCTTTCTCTATTTTTCAAACCATACTCATCTTTTAAGATCCTGTTTAAATGCCACCGCCAAGCCACTCTCCTGTCCACCTCCAGCATCCACCTCCTTCCTCTCCTTTGAAGCCCCACTCTGGTGCATAGCATTTGTCATCCCCTGCCCTCTTCTTCCATATGTTTTATCTCTACTACTTGGTGGCAATTTCTTGGAGGTAAAGACTGTGTTTTATATCTTAGCATTCCTTGAAGCACTCCCACAGTGACCTTCACACATTAGGAATTTAGTAAAAATTTTCTGGACATATGAAAAATGAATGAGTCCATGATTCCAAGGCACACTATGTATTCATATCATATTCTTGCAATCTTTCCCTTATTTCCTTTGCAGACAAGTGTGGCTATGACTGCTGCTGGGACCACGATACTGTGAGAGACTTCGCATATTTAAAAGGATGCTGAGAGAGGAGGAGGAATGATAAATGAGCTCGGGAAGATGTGATGTCTTCTGTGATGACACTAATAGATGGAATACAGAATTCAGCTCCAATACTTACGGTTGGAAACTAAACATAAACAAGCAGGCAAGGAAAATGAAAAGGGAATGTGTGTGTGTGTGTGTGTGTGTGTGTGTGTGTGTGTGTGTGTGTGTGGAGGTGTGGTAAGAGTATATAAAATACATTAAAAGATAAAAATCCAGATGCTGCTAAAGGGACAAACATATAGGAATTTTACATTAGGGTTGTTCTGGTTTTCTTTTTCTTGCCTTATTAAAATTTAATGAGAAACAAGTCTCCAGATATTTATATAGTCTGGGAGACCACTGGCAAGACAACAAGCTTAGCATTATAGGTGGTCCCCCAGCAGGATCTAAATCAGAGCCTTTCTAGTGGGCTGTTGGGCCAGGTGCAGCTGTAGACAATGCATCTTCCAGAGTAGGGTGAAACAACTCAATGGACTGGTAATGCAACAGGAGATAGAAGGAAACCATGCTCTCAGTAAAGCATGGTGGGTCTTTTAAAAACATTTAAAAAACATTTTTAGGTCAGGCACAGAGGCTCACACCTGTAATCCCAGAGCTTTGGGTGGCTAAAGCCTTCCAAAAGCAGGATCCCTTGAGGCCAGAACTTCTAGACCAGCCTGGCCTAACATAGCGAGACCCTATCTCTACACAAAATAAAAATTAATTAGCCAGACAGGTGGCAAGCACCTGTAGTCCCAACTACTCAAGAGGCTAAGGCAGGAGGATCACTCGAATCCAAGAATTTGAGGTTGCAGTAAGCTATGATCATGCCATTGCACTCCAGCCTGGGTGACAGAGTGAGACTTCAGTTCTTAAAAAAAAAAAAAATTGTGTTATGCTTTTCATTGCTGGGTTTTTAGAAGGAGGTTCTCAAGGTGTCAATCCAGAGACGTTCTGTTCTATTTGTCAGAAATGCAAAAGAATGGAGCAAAATTCCAAAGATAAAGGGAAAAATATGGCAATCAGGATAGCAAGAGCTGAGCAAATGATGTGAGTTTGAGGTGTTTTCTACTAATTTGTTTTAACATTGAGCTTTAAAAAAAAGTTCAGATAGGAAAGCATGGGGTGAAATATTGCCTGGTCTCCAATTGAAACACATGGGCATGAGATGTGGTGAAGTATTGCTAATGGGATGGAAAACTGGGGTCGACCTGGTGTGTAGGAGCACAGCATCCTGAGTCTCATAAGTGATCCAGGTTAAAGGGTCTCTAGCGTGACACTCTGAGTGCCTTAGAAGAGCTACCTGGCTTGAGTGCCACTCACAGGTACTTTTCTATCCCCAGGTTGTCAGCTCTTCAGCTCTTTAGTCATTCAACAGATATTTATTGATGGCCTACTAAATGACAAGCCCTGGGTGAAGAGCTGTGAAAAAACCAGACAAATGTCTCTGCCCTCATGGGATTCATAAAATAAAGGGTTAAGAATATAAGAGTATTTTATAAGAATAGTCCATGGTGGAAAACTGAAGCACAAGAATTTTCTTCATTGGTCTATTGACCTATGTAGTGACCCATGTAGTGACTCCAGATCAAAACCCAGATCATCCCATTTACCTGCTTCCTGTTATTGTAAAGCCTCTGCCATCTGTTATTACTTCTTACCATCTCTCCTCTGAGACCTATGATCCAAGCCACATAGCCTCTTTTAAAAAGTTGTATTGAAGTACAATTTTCATACCAAAAAGTTCACCAATTGTGAGTGTATAATTCAATGATTTTTAATAAATGTATAGAGTTGTATGGTCTCATCATCACAATCCAGTTTTAGAACATTTCTGCCAGCCTAAAATGCTTCTTTGTGCCCATTTGCAATCAATTCTGCTTCAACTTTCAACCCCAGGAAACCACTGATCTGTTTTCCATATCTATCGTTTTGCCTTTTCTGGACATTTTATATCAATGGAACCAAACAATATAGGTTGCTCATTCCTTATCCCAACATCCAAAATAGTCAAAATGTGAAATGTTTTGAGCATGACATGACACCATAAATAAGAACAAAAAAGATGCCTGATTTCATTACACATGCACACCACAAGTGGAAAATTTCACACATGACCTCATTCACATGATGAGTTTCAGTCAGTCAAAATGCAGGCATGTCACATACAGCTTATTTAGCCTCCCCAAGAGAAAATAGAGCCACCCAGCCCCCATCAGCTGCAATATGTCTTTTCTACCCAATGCCCAGATTCCCACATACAGGCACACTCACGAAGGGTGATAAATTGACAGGTGCAGGCCGAATGTTCCAATAGCAAGTTCCCCATCATGCCCCAGAGGAAGCCAAGATGACATGCATAACTCACTGTGTTTTTTCGCTTATTCTATGCTCTGCAGTATAAAGATATTGTTGAAAATTTCAAAAGGTCTGCATGTGGGTAATAGTAATAAGAAAAAAAGAACACATTCATGTTTGTCTGTAGAACAGACACTGAACAGCAGTGTAAGTGTGAAATGTCTTACTGAAGGGTATGGTGTTGGAATGATCACCATGTATGAAAACAAGGATAAACTGTGGAATTTTCATGCTCAAAGTGATGAGCAGAATTTGTTAAAAATAGGAAAACCCTGTATACGGTTTAAAATGAAGATCTCGATCGTGTATTGAAAGAGTGGATCCATCAGCGTTGCAGTGATCACATGCCACTTAACTGTGCTGACGGTGAAGCAAGCAAAGCTCTATCAGGGTACTGAAAATGGAATGGAATTGTGAATATTCGACAAGCTGGCTGCAGAAATTTAAGAAACGACGTGGCATTGTATTTTTAAAGATTTGTAGTGATAAAGCATCTGCTGATCATGAAGCAGTGGAAAAATTTATTGACAAGTTTGCCAATGTCATCACTGATTAAAATCTGACACCAGAACAAGCTGATAATACTGATGAAACACCACTCTTTTGGTGTTATTTCCCCAGAAAGACATTGCCTATGACTGATGAGACACCCCTATAAGAATTAAGGAAGCCAAGAACAGAATAACTCTACTGGGATGTGCTAATGAAGCAGGCACATGTTGGTATAAACTTGCTGTGATAGTCAAAAGCTTGCATCCTCGACGTTTTCAAGAAGTGAATTTCTTACCTGTCCATTATTATGCTAACAAAGAGGCTTGTATCGCAAGGAACATCTTTTCTGATTGGTTTCAAAATGTTTTGTCCCAGTAGCTTGTGCTCACTGTAGGGAAGCTGGACTAGATGATAACTGGAAGCGTCTGTTATTCCTTGACAACTGTTCTGCTCATCCTCCAGCTGAAACTCTCATCAAAATAGTGTTTATGCCATGGACTTTCCCCCAGATGTGACACAATTAGTTGACCATGTATCCTTAGATCAATGAAAAGGAAACATATAAACTTTTTTTTAACAGCATGCTAGCAGCAGTGAACAGAGGTGTCGGCGTGGAAGCTTTCCAGAAGAAGTTCACCATGATGGATGCTGTGTGTGCTGTTGCCAATGCTTGGAACGCAGTGATTAAAGACACAGTTATACGTTTCTGGCACAACCTCTGGCCTGCAATGACGTTCAGTAATGATGATGAACAAGGTGGGTGACTTTGAAGGATTCCCTATTTCAAGTGAGAAAAAAATGATATCTAACCTCCTTACATATGCAAAAAATATATCTTCAGATGTAAGTTGGAAGAAGTAGATATTTCAGATGTTTTGACATTCATAATAAGCCTCTAGTTGTTCATTCACTGATTGATGGTGAAATAGCGGAAATGGTTCCGAATTGAGGTGATGGCAACAATAATAACAACGAAGATGACATTACTAACACTGCACTGCACTGTCTAAGAGAACATAGTGAAAACATGCAACGGGCTTACTGAAGGACTAGAGCAGGGTGCATTCACAAAAGAACAATAAATCATGTCAGTTTATAAAATGAGAGATTTTTATGACAAAAAACACTGTTAGTGAGGCCGATGACTTAAGGAAACATTTTAAAAATCTATCCAGAAGAACGCCTCCTCATTGCTAGGGCATGCATTTCCTGGTCCTTCAACTGCTTCTGATGTTTCTTTTTTTTTACAAAAAAAAAAAAAAAAAAAAAAAACAAAAACAGAGTACAGTAACCTTTTAATCAGAACACAGTACTGCAGGCGGAGACTCAAAGCCTGTTGTTTGTTGCTGCTGTTGTCTGACAGCTGCTACAGGGATTCTGGTGATGCTACTATGCTTAGTTACCCTGAACACATTTTTCATGGTATTAAAGATAAATCATATTTTTTTGCTGTTAAGTACTTATGTGTGAATAAGTAAAAGGACGTGATTGCTTGTTGGTAGCATTTACATTTAGACTCAGGAAACGCAGTGATGCCAAACAACCACAGATTGTCCACATGGATGGCTGAGATAGTGACACCTGTGCTTTCTGATGATTCAGTGTACCTTTAAGCTATGTGTATACGGTATATATGAAACATAAATGAATTTCGTGTTTAAACTTGGGTCCCATCTCCAAGATATCTCATTTTGTATATGCATATGTTCCAAAATCTGAAAAAAAAAATATGAAATGTGAAACACTTCTGGTTGCAAGAATTTTGGTTAAGGATGCTCAATCTGCATGTATGTTTTGTATGTGGCTTCTTTAACCTAGAATAATGTTTTTAAGGTTTATCTATGTTGCAGCATATATCAATAGTCTGCTACTTTTCATTCTTTGAATAGTATTCCATTGCATGGACATAGTATATTTTATTTATTCTTTCATCAGTTGATGAACACTTGGATTATTTTCAGTTTCGGGATACTAAGACCATGAATACATAAGCCTTTGCATGGAAATGTGTTTGCATTTCTCTTGTGTAGATATCTAATGTGGAATTGCTAGGTTGTATGGTAAATATGTGTTTAACTTTATGAGAAGCTGCCATGCTATTTTCTAAAGTGGCTCCACCGTTTTCCATTCCCATACGTATGAGAGTTCTATTTCTCCACATTCTCATCAATACTGATTGTCGTCTGTCTTTTAATTATTGCTATTCTAGTAAGAGTGTAATTGTATCTTAATTTGGTTTTGGATTTTATCTCCATAATGACTAATGATTAGAGCATTTTTTCCCATGTGTTTATTAGTTATTCCTGTATTTTATTTGGAGAAATGTCTATTTAACTTTTTTGGTCATTTTTTTTCTTTTTTCTCTTGTTTTCAGTTTTTGTTTTTTTTGGTTTATTTTTCAGAGACAGGGTCTCACTCTGTTGCCCAGGCTGGAGTGCAGTGGCATGATCATAGCTAACTGAAACCTTGAACTCCTGGGCTCAAACAGTCTCTCACCTCAAACTCCAAGTAGCTAGGACTACAGGTCCCTGCCACCATACCCAGCTAATTAAAAAATTTTTTTGAGATAGGGTCTTGTTATGTAGTCTAGGCTGGTCTCAAACTTCAGGCCTCAAGTGATCCTCCCACCTTGGCCTCCGAAAGCACAGGCATTACAGGTGTGAGCCACCATGAGCGTGAGCCACCAACCTTTTGGCCATTTTTTAATTAGGCTGCTTGTCTTCTTGTTATTGAGTTTTATTAGTTATTTGTGTATTCTGGATACAATTTCCTTCATCAGATGCATGATTCACAAACTTTTCTCCAGTTTTTGCCTTCCCCTTTCATTGTCTAATGTTACATTTTAGAAGAGCAAAAACTTTAATTTTGTTTAAGCTTTGTCTTTTCTGGATTATGCTTTTGTTTTCTTATCTAAGAAGTATTTGCCTAATCAATGCCACTGTTTTTTCCCTGTTTACTTCTAAAAGTTTTACGATTTTACTTAGACATTAAGTTTTGAATTAATTTTTGTGTATATTATGAGGTGTCTATATTCTTTTTTCTTTATGTTTTGCATATGAATATCTAACTGTCTCAGAACCATTAGTTGAAAGACTGTTCTTGCCTGAATTGAATTGCCCTAACAATTGCCAAAAATCAATTTACCGTAAATAAAAGAATTTATTTCTGGACTCTCAATTCTATTCTATTGATCTGTGTACCTATCCTATGCCAATACCATATTGTCTTGATTATTGTAGCTTTATCTTAACTTTGAAATTGGTGAGCATAACTTCTCCAACTTTGTTATTTCTCAAGATTATTACAGCTATTCTAGGTTCTTGGCATTTTCATATGCATTTTAGAATGAGCTTATCAATGTCTACCAAAGAAATTGCTCTGCTAGAAATTTTATAGAGATCATGTTGAATCTATACATCATTCTAGGGAGAATTACTATCTCAAAAAAGATTGAATCTCCAATTTATTAACATGAAACATAACTCCATGTATTTAGCGATGTTTCCTAGTTTTCACTGTACAAATCCTGTCCTTGTATTTATTTTGTTAAATTTATTTCTAAGTATTTTATTCATTTTGATGCTATTGTTAATGAAATTTTCTTAATTTCATTTTTGGGTTTTTCTCTGCTAAAACGATTGACCCTTGAACAACACAAGGGATTAGGGGCACCAACCCCTGCACATTCAAAAATTGGCATATAGCTCACTGTTGACCAAAGCCTTACTGACATAAACAGTCATTAATACATATTTTATATGTATTAGATACTGTATTCTTACAAGAAAGTAAGCTAGAAAAAAGAAAATATTACTAGGAAAACAAAAAAGAAGAGAAAATTATCTTTATTCTTCATTAAGTGAATCATCATCATAAAAGTCTTTATCCTTGTCATTTTCATGAGTAGGCTGAGGAGGAATAGGAAGAGGAGGAGTTAATCTCACAGTCTCAGGGGTGGCAGAGACAGAAGAAAGGCTGTGTATTAAGTAATAGAAATCTGTGTTGTTCAAGGATCAACTGTATATGAAATACAACTGATATTTGTAGATTGGTCCTGTATCCTGCAGCCTTGCTAAATTTATTAGTACTAATAGATTTTTTTTAATGTGTGGATTTATTGGGATTTCTTTTTTGCATACAAGATTACGTTATCCGTGAATAAAGACATTATTACTTATTCCATTCTAATTAGAATAACTTTAAATTTTTTTTCTTGCCTTATTGGCTGGAACTTTGGTATAATGTTGAATAAAAGGAGCAAGACTAGATAACTTTGCCTAATTCCCAGTTTTAACAAGAAAACACTCAATTTTTATTACATATTAAGTAGGATATTTGCTTTAGGTTGTTTACAGATTTCTTTGATGAAGTTAAAGAAGTTCCCTTGTATTCACACTTTGTTGATAGGTTTTTTTAATCATTGATGGGTGTTGGATTTTTAAAATGCTTTTCTACATCTGTTGAGATGATTATGTGGGTTGTCTTAATTCTATCAATATGGTATATTACACTAATTGATTTTTGAATCCTAAACAACTTGAACTCTTTGGATAAATTCCACTTAGTGATAACATAGAATTCTTTTTATATGTTTCTAGATTTATCATCTTACAATTTTAAATATTTTTTCATCTGTGTTAAAAATGGATATCAGTTTGTGGTTTCTGTTTCTTGAGATGTCTTTGACTTTGTATCAGGGTAATACTGGGTTCATAGAATGTATTTGGAAGTGTTTCCTTTTCCTCTTTTCCAAAAGTGTGAAGAATTGGAATTACTGATTTTTTAAATATTTGTTAGAATTCATGGTTGAAGTCATTTAGTGTATTTCTTTGTGGAAAGACTTTAAATTACCAATTCAATGTCTTTGCTTGCTAAAGATCGATTGATATTTTCTATCTCTTCTTGAGCCATTTTAGGTAATTTGAGTCTTTCTATAATCTTGTCCATTTTCTATAAATTGTCTAATTTGCTGGTAGGAAGTTGTTGATAGTATTCACCTATAATCCTTTAATTTTAAGGTTGGCAGTGACTGCCCCACTTTTTTTCCTGATATTGGTAATTTGTGTCTTCTTTTATTTTTGGATCAGTCTAGCTAAAGATTTGTCAACTTTGTTTATTTTTTTCAAGAAATAGCCTTTTGGTTTCATTGATTTTTTCTCTATTATTTTTCTCTTTTCTGTCTCATTGTTTTCTACTTTTGTTTTTACTATTTCCTGTCTTCTGATTGCTTTGGCTTTAATTAGCTTCTCTATTTCTAGTTTCCTATGGTGGGTGTTTATGTTATTTATTTAATATCCCTCTTCTGTCCTGATGTAGGCATGAATAATTCTATATTTCCTAAACTCTACTCACTGCTGTAGCTGTATGCCATTATTATTATTATTATTTTTCTGAGGCGGAGTCTCAGTCTGTCACCCAGGCTGCAGTGCAGTGGTGTGATCTCTACTCACTGAAATCTCTGCCTCCAGGATTCAAGTGATTTTTCTGCCTCAGTCTCCCGAGTAGCTGGGATTACAGGCACATACCACCACTCCTGGCTAATATTTCGTATTTTTAGTAGAGACGGGGTTTCACCGTGTTAGCATGGATGGTCTCGATCTGACCTCGTGATCCACTTGCCTTGGCCTCCCAAAGTGCTGGGATTACAGGTATGAGCCACTGCGCCCAACCTGTATCCCATAATTTTTGATGATATGTTGAGTATTTGTTTTTGTTTAGCTCAAAAATTTAAAAATTTTCCTACCATTTTATTTGACAAATAGTTTAGATAGAAGCATTTTATTCAGTTTTCAAGTTTTTTGTGAATCCTCACACTTCCTTCTGTTGTTGATGTCTAATTTAATGGCATTGTTTTTGAAGAACATATTTTTGATTATTTCATACCTTTAAAATTTATTGAAACTTGTTTTTATGGCCTAGCATACGTTCTGTTCCGCAGAATGTTCTATGCTTCAAAAGAACATCTATTCTGCTGTCCTTGAGTGGAATGTTTTATAAATGAGGTCAAGTGGTAAATTTAAGTCTTCTGTATCCTTGCTGCTTTTCTATCTAGTTGTTCTATCAATTATTGAGAGCAAAGTATAAAAATCTCCAAGCACCATTTTGAGCACTGTCATTTCTTGCTCGGGTTATTGAAATAGCTTGGCACTCCTTATCCACCATACCTACTTTACTTTTTCCCATAGGATTTATCTTCATCTGACTTAGTATATATTTTATTTATATTCTAGAATATAAGGGTCCCATGCTGTCAGGCAGTTTTTATCACTGATGTATGCCTGGCACCACAAACAGTGCGTGCCACATATTTGCCACTCAAATATATATATTTTTAATCTAAACACTCACCAAACAAATGGCACCCTCTAGTCTCTCGGTTGAGTGCGAGATTCCTCATCCCACCATCTGGAATAATCTGAAATGGGTCAATACCAGTGAAATCCTGAGAAATTCAGTGCAAAGGGTGGGACATAGAAGGGGTGACTGCTGCTAGTGCTTTTGGCCAAATGGAGAAATTTTCCCTTTCTCCTCATGTTTTTTTGTTTGGATTTATCTCTCCTTGCATTTTTATTTTATTTTATTTTGAGATAGGTTCTGATCCTGTCTCCTAGGTTGGAGTGCAAGAACATGATCATAGCTTAATGAAGTCTCAACCTCATGGGCTCACACTGTCCTCCCACCTCAGTCACTTGAGTAGCTGAGACTACAGGCACGCACCACCTTGCCCAGCTCACCTTGTTCTTTTCTTTTCTTTTAGAGATGGGGTCTCACTCTGTTGCCCAAGCTGGTCTTGAGCTCCCAGACTCGAGTGATCCTCCCACCTCAGCCTCCCAAAGTGCTGGAATTATAGGCATGAACCACCACACCTGGCCTGCTTGCTCCTTGCTCCTTGCATTTTCTTTTTCTTTCTTTCTTTTTTTTTTTTTAGATGGAGTTTTGTTCCTGTTTCCCATGCTGGAGTGCAATGGTGCAATCTTGGCTCACTGCAACCTCTGCTTCCTGGGTTCAAGTGATTCACCTGCCTCAGCCTCCTGAGTAGCTGGGATTGCAGGTTGCACCACCATGCCCAGCTAATTTTTTGTATTTTTAGTAGAGACGAGATTTCATCATGTTGGCCAGGCTGGTCTCGAACTCTTGACCTCAGGTGATCCACCCACCTCAGCCTCCCAAAGTGCAGGGATTACAGGCATGAGCCACCGTGCCCAGCCACTCCTTGCATTTTCTAGTTATCAAAGTGGTAGGCACTTCAAGACCAGAACTGGATATAGGTATCGAGGAAATATGCCACTGTGCTTGATTTTGATCCAGACTATTTGGCTGCCTTCTCCAGACAAAGGCATCAGGTGACCCTGTACATCTTAGTACGCATTAATTCACAAGTGAGGAAGGAAAGGATGGGCTAAAACTTCAGAGCAATACACAGAAATGTTTTCCCCTACCTCTGTACTTTATCCTCCTAAACCTGAGAGAAGTTGTCATAGGTGGCTGGGCCAGGATTGGGTGCTCAGGACCCCAGCCAAGCATTGTTCCATTTTAGGATGATTGACATTAGATACAAGTCTTGGAGTAGCTTTGAAATTTAATGCATATCTTGCTTTGGAGGGGTGTAACATACAACAACTTGAGAAAAAACAGCATGCACTATTTGTTATTGAGTGCTGGTCATATGATAGCAAGACAGTTTTCATGTATCTGGCATATCAGTTACTTTACATAATCTATATGCTTAATCAATGAAAAATGAAAGAAGAGATTGACTGATATTTTTCTTTTACTCATGAAAGTTAGGCCTAAAGGTTACAAACTTTTCTCACATGGTCTGTATAACCAACTGGAACTCAGGGGGAGAAGTCTGGGCTGGATAAAACCATTTGAGCACCATGAATAAATCTATGGTCATTAAAGCTGGGAGATGCATCACGCTTTCTACAGAATGAGAAGGGGAAAGCACCTAGGATAAAACTTTGAGGAATAGTGATGTTTAATGGCTGAGTAGAAGACAATGAGCCTGAAAAGGCAGAGAAGGAGCATCCAGAGAGGTAGGAGGAAAACGAGGAGGATATTGTATCCAGGAAGGCATGCAGCCTCTTTCTGAAAGCTTGCAATTGTGTTTGCTTTGGGGGAGTCTCACTACAGGTAAAGCACTTGTCAATTAATAATAAACTCTCATTACATGAATTATCCTGAAATTGTTCTTGACACTAGATAAGTAGTTCTCATGGAGAGTTACTTAGAACAGTTGGTAGCATGAAGACTTTTGTGTTAATAAGACTCTGTGCTGGGTACAGTGGCTAGTGCCTGTTATTCCAGCACTTTGGGAGGCCGAGGTGGGGGTGGGGGGTCTCTTGAGGCCAGATGTTCAAGACCATTATGGGCAACATAGCTAGGCCCTGTCTCTACAAAATTAGCCAGGCATGGTGGTGTCTGCTTGTAGTCCCAGCTACCTGGGAGGCTGAGGTGGGAGGATCACTTGAGCACAAGGTTTGAAGCTGCAGTGAGCTATGATTACACCACTGCACTCCAGCCTGGATGATGGAGCAAGACAGAAAGTAAAAAGACAGACAGAAAGACAGAAAGATGAAGGAAAAGAAAGAAAAAGAGAGAAACAAAGAAAGAAGAAAGAAAGAGGAAGGAAGGAAGGAAAGAGAAGGGAAGGAAGGAAGGAAGGGAAGGAAGGAAGGAAGTGGGGAGGGAAGGAGGAAAGGAGAAGGAGTGAAGGAAAGGAAACAAAGATGCTGTGTTTTCATCAAAATAATTTCACCCCATAGCTGGGCATGGTGAAATTATTATTTCTATTATACCTATAGTCCCTGCTACTCAGGAGGCTGAGGTAAGAGGATTGCTTGAGGCCAGGAGTTCAAGACCAGCCTGAGCAAAACAGGGAGACCTCATCTCTAAAATGTTTTTAAAAATTAATGGTACATTATGGTGCCTATCTGTAGTCCCTGAGGCAAGAGGATGGCTTGAACCCAAGAGTTCAAGACTACAGTGAGCTGCGATCATGCCGCTACACTCCAGCCAGACTCGATTTCTTTAAAAAATTACTTTACCTCAATCCTTGTGTACCCTGCAAGTATGACATACTCTATCTTGATGACTCCAGTAACCATCTGTGACCTTTTGGCATTCTAGTGGTAATTTGATTAATG